GGGATTTCTGGTTTTTAATGTCTGGGATGGTTTCCCCTCCCTCCAGGATTGCTGTTGCACAAATTTCAGAGGCACCTATCGGCTGCAACCAATATCAGCACGAGATGATCCCTGCCCTGAAAACCCTACAGTCTAAATGGACGCAGGCAGGTTCATTCTCCCCATTTTACAGACACATACCGACTTGGGCAAGGTCACCCCAGTGGTGGATTACTGCACGGGCCCACGGGGCCGCAGGCAATTCGGGGCCCCGGGAAAAATCTCTCCCCTAGCCGCTGTGGCCCCGTGGCTGGAGGAGCTCATTCCGCACTGCGGCCCCAGGGCCACGGCGGGGGCACAGAGCTTCTCCAGTGTGGAAGCTGCGGGGGAGGGGGGGGCGCGGAAAGGAGTGAGTGGAAGAGGCAGAATGGGGTGTGACCATGGGCGGGGCCACAGGTGGAAGGAGCAGAATGGGGTGGGCCCTGCAGGTAGAAGGGGCGAGGCTGTGGGCGGGGCTGCAAGCAGAAGGAACGGAATGGGGGCGTGACCACAGGTGGAAGGGAAGGGGCCACACTTCTGGCCTTCCTTCTGCCTCAGAGCAGCCCTCCGAGTGCGTCTCTGCAGTGGAGCCTGATTCTTCACCCTGGGAGGGGAAGGGAGCGGATCTGAAATGCTCGGCGGAACAAGGAGAAAGGAGCGAGATCTGGGTTGCAGGGTGTTTATTCTGCCATGGTGCTAGGAGGCGCAGGTCAGAAGCCCCAGCACGAGGTTCCCATGCGGTGTTCCCGCACGGTGCCGGTGTGGGGGTCATACCAGACCAGCATCGTCTGCTCGATCTGGTCAGCGCGGAGCTCCAGCCACTTCCCGTCACTCTGCAGGACGAGCCGGATGTTGGTCCAGGGCTCCACAGGCCGCTTCTGTACCATTTCCATCGCCCGGCTGAAGCAGGCGGCCAGCCCCTCTGTCATGTGCCACAGCCTCTCGGCCCTGTTCTTCAGTTGCAGCAGCTCCAGCGCGTTCAGGCCCTTGGTGCACACCCTGGCCACTGTGCCGCTCCCCTCTGGGAGAGCTTCCTCGCGCTGCATGAGTGGGTGTGGTGGGGGCAGCGCCTCCTGCAGGGGGAGAGCGTGAAGAGCAGGAGCTGAGGACACGCCGAGGGTCTGACCCCCACCCAGCATGGGATCAACCACACATGACCTGGCCTCTGTGATTGCACACAGCGCCCCCAGCTGGTGCTCCTCACTCTGCGCCTGCAATGGATTTGCCCTCCAGGGGGCAGAGGTGAGTTTGGTCGCCAGGGTCTGTCCAGTCCCAAATCCCTCCCCGGCCGCCCCACCTGCACTGGGCTCCCATGAATGGTGGCTCCACTCCTGGCAGCATCTGGGGCTGTTCTCCCCGGGGATCAGGTCACCGTGTTGTTCTCCAGTACACGAACCAGAGAGAGAAAGAGAGATGCAGAAACAGAGAATGTACCAGAGACCCCGTCCCCTATGCCCCCCTGCCAGACCTGTGGATTGCCCCCAAGAGTCCTGACTTCCAACCTCTCTCCCGCAATTTTAAGCACTAGACCCCACTCCTCTCCCAGAGCTGGGGCTAGAACCCAGGTGTCCTGGCTCCCAGCCCCTCCCCCCTGCTCTGACCACTAGACCCAGTGCTAGGGGCACCCACCTGCAGCACTCAGCTGACTTGGGGTTGGCTCATGCACATGGATGCCAGCTCCTTCCCCAGGGCCTGGGGAGAGCCCACATCGGTCACCCTACCCCAGCCCCAAGGGGCTGGGACACCAATTTATCTGGCTCCATTTCATCCAGCTCGGACCCCTCTCCCCAGCTGCGGTTGACCTGGGACTCCCAGCTGGCTGACTCTGGGGCCTTGAGCAGAGCAGGGGAGATGGTTACAAGGTTCTGTGACTCCGTTTTGTTTAAGGGAAGGGAAAGGCGCTGCTGTCTCTGTAAACAGAAGTTGGGGCTGGAGCTGTGGGGAGAGGTCAGAAGGTCACTCCTCTAATCTAAGGGTTGGCCCTAGTGGTTGGCTTATGAGGCTGGGAGTCCAGACTCCTGGGTTCTATCCCTGGCTCTGGGAGGGAAGTGGGGTCTAGTGGGTTAAAGCGGTGGGGCTAAGAGCCAGGACTCCTGGGTTCTATCCCTAGCTCTGGGAGGGAAGTGGGGTCTAATGGGTTAAAGCAGGGGGGGGGGCTAAGAGCCAGGACTCCTGGGTTCTATCCCCAGATAGAGGTGGGGTGTAGTGGGTTAGAGCAGGGGGAATTACATTCCATTGCTATTGGTTCTTTCACTATAGCACATTCCCTCTCACACCCATTTTTCTTCGCAGCACGCGCGCCTCTCTTCCAATCTCACCCCTTCCTCACTGCCCCTCCCTGCCTCCCATCTCAAGCGGTAATGGAAAAGCTAGAAGCTCATTGGACGACTGGGAAACAATGGGATCCCCCTTTTCGGGCTGCTCAAGCACCCAGGCCCGCATATGACATCTCAAATATCACCTAAAGCTCGGGAATGGAGACCTCACCTCAGGCTCTGTGGAACTGTCCACGACAAGGGGACATCTGCTCCGAGTAGGAAATGGGGCTTCCTCGGGGGGCTGGTCCCAGACTGTGGAACGAGCTCTCCCAGGAAGTAAGGTCCATCCCAAACCACACCCCCTTCTGTGCCAGGGGCCAGGTGCATTTCTTTGACCTGCCTTCTCTGCCGTACACATATAGCAAGATGTGTATTTAAAGGGAGGGTGCGCCCCTCTTAGTCAGTGATGACTCCAATGCCCCAAGGCACTGCGGGGGGCACTGTGCTGCAGGGAGTGGGGTGGGATGCGCAGTAAGGGGCACTTGCCCCTCAAAGTCAGTGCTAACCCCAATTCCCTAGACCAGTGCTGGGGGCACTGAGCTGCAGGTGGTAGGAGGCTCAGTAGGGGGCACTCTCCCCTCACACTCAGTGCTGACCACAAAACCCTAGAACAGTGCTAGGGGATGGTGGGCTGCATGGAGAAGGGGCCCTCTCCCCTTGTGACAGACTGTACCCCTGTATTCACCCCGTGCACACTATTATAATAATCTTTGTACAAAGTATGCTTTGTGAGGTATCATTTGAAAACTCATAATTTGCTGGACATTATTGTTGTGGTAAAATAGGCGTGGCAACACCATATAAGAACCTAAGAATGGCATACTGGGTCAGACTAAAGGTCCATCTAGCCCAGTATCCTGTCTTCCAACAGTGGCCAATGCCAGGTGCCCCAGAGGGAATGAACAGAACAGAGAATCATCCAGTGATCCATCCACTATCTCCCATTCCCAACTTCTGGCAAACAGAGGCTAGGGACACCATCCCTGCCCATCCTGGCTAATAGCCATTGATGAACCCATCCTCCATGAACTTATCTAGTTCTTTTTTGAACCCTGTTATTGTCTTGTCCTTCACAACAACCTCTGGCAGAGTTCCACAGGTTGACTGTGCATTGTGTGAAAAAAATACTTCCTTTTGTTTGTTTTAAACTTGCTGCCTATTCATTTCATTTGGTGACTCCTGGTTCTTTTGTTATGAGGAGTAAATAACACTTCCTAATTTACTTCCTCTACACCAGTCCTGATTTTATAGATCCCAATCATATCCCCCCTTAGTCGTCTCTTATATATGAAATTATAAGACACCCCTGTATGGTTTTGTTAACACATGTTCCAAACCACAGCCCTGCCGAGACAGAGGTTGGAAAACAGGTCTGCCCTAAACAAAGGGACGTGTGCGCTGCTTAATTTGCATTTAAGCAGCAAACAGAGTTATGAAGCAGGAATGGGTAGAAAAGGAACCACAAGCAGATGAGAAAGAACAGCAGAAAACATCCTTTCTTGGTCACTCTCTGTCTCCTATATCTCAGCTGGAAATGTTTTCTAAGAGGGGGCCGACGCTATGAAAATGAGGGCCAAACACCCCAAGGCGCCCCTCCTCCTTCCTCTCTCTCTCTCTCTGTCCATTGATTCACTACACCGGAAGGAACAAAGGAAGCACCCATAGAACATAGACCTAAGAAGTTTGGCCAATAAGACTGTTGAGAGCAGGTGGTGAGAAAAACTTTGCTTCAAATTTAACAACGTTTGTTAAGTGAGGCATTTAGTTGAGTTTTAGCTGCATTTTTCTTGTAACCCTTTCTGACTCCTATGCCTCATGACTTCTACTCACGTAAAATCTCTCTCTTTGTAGTTAATAAACTTGTTGCATTGTTTTATCTAATCCAGCTTGGTGGAATTGATGGACTTTATATAAACTTGTATTGTCCAGGAGAGAGCTGGGCAGTACCGGACATACATTTCTGGGGGGAAATCTAAGGCTAAGGGTGTGTTGGGGTCACCCTGCAGTACAACCCAGGCTGGTCAGAGCCAGAATGTAACCCGAGTGTGTCTGGCAGGCTGCAGTTACACACACACATTCAGGGTGTGGCTTGCAGGCTGTTTGTGAGCAGCCTAGGTGGGGCTCCTTCAGTAAGGCATTGTACGGCACCCAAGGGTTCAGAGCAAGGGTGCCATAGCTGCTCATTAGTCTGGATTGTACCCTGGGTATATCACACCCATCACTGTCGATGCTGACTCCAGGGGGGCTGGGGGCGCTGTGCTGCAGGGAGCCCTACAATAAATACCACCCAGAAGCCGATTCCAGTTGGGAGGTGCCACGGGCATTTATTTAGGGCCAGCGAGGAGAGGGACCATCCAGCGTGATTGCTTCCCAACCTAGGACGGGAGGGAGACTTCAACCTCCTTTTTGTGCCGGTTGTACCACACCAACAGGTGCTTGCTGGCGTTTCCTGTGCGGAACTCCAGCCAGCACCCGTCTCCCTGGACGATGACCCTGGCGTCCTTCCAGAGCCAGTACTTCTTGGGGTCCTGCTGGGCCACCAGATCTATAGCCTGGCTGAGGCAGGCAGCTAAACCCTCTGTCATCAGCCCCTTCTCCTCCAACTCATTCTTCTTCCTGAGGACGTCTATGGGGGTCACTTCCTCTCCGCATTCAACGGTGAATTCCATGTTGAGGTCAAAGGTTCCTTTACAGCGGGCACAGATATTCCCCGACCGCCCGGTTGGAGGCTGCCAAGAACTGAAATAAATCGATGCATTGTGTGTGGGGAAATCACCATGGATTAAGGGAGGGGGGGTGGAGTCCTACTGTGCTGCAGCATCTCAGCTTTCATGCAAAAGAAAAAAGTTCGTTTCTAGCCTTCGCGGCAGCCAAGAAAACATCCCAAACGTGGAGTCGGTGTAACTGACGCAGTGATGCCTGAGTCTGCAGACAGCCTGGGTCAGTCGCTCCGAGAGGCTGCCGCCTTCACCACGGTGGAATGTTGACTCTGAACCCTAGTGACCACCCTTCAAATGTCAGCTTTGCCGCTGGTGATCAAAGCATGTAAGAACAGAGAGGAACTAGCGTTGTCTGACGATCCACACTTCCCTCTGCAAGCAGCAGTTTGTGCTGGTGTTGTGCATGGGTGAGGTTTTGGTTGTGGGTGGAGCCTGGGAAATACCACTACCCATTTGTGGGGAGAAAGGGTGTGAAGGGACAGCACCTTGATAAGGAATCCTATTATCCTCCTATTTCTTGTATTCTCTATACCTGCAACACTGCCTACAGACCCCACCCAAGAGGGAGGGCTTATTTGACTAAGCACTGTACATGCATAGAGTGTATATCTCTAACTATTAGAACCCAATGCAGTCCCAGAGCTGGAGATAGAACCCAGGAATTCTGACTCCCAGCCCTCCCCCCCCCCCACGCGCTAACCAATGGATACCACTCGCCTCCCAGAGCTGGGGATAAAACCCAGGAGTCCTGACTCCCAGTCCCCCCTGCTTTAACCAATAGACCTCACTCCCCTCCCAGAGCCAGGAAGAAAACACACACACACACACAACCTTTCCCCAGCCTCACAGCTCAGTGTTGCCTGGTGTTATCTGTACCCAGTTACTGGGGCGGGAAGCAGGGTGACTCTTGGAAATCCCACGGTTGGGGTGGGAAGATCGTACAGCAGAGGAAGAGAGAAAGGCTGGGGGGTGGAGGGCAGACGGGATGGGAACGTGGAAATTCTCACATTTGGGGGTGAAGGAGGAAAGGTAACTTTCTCAGGGGAGTTGGGAGGGGGCCGGAGAGATGCGGGATGGGGGGGGGGGGGGGACAGGGTACAAGCCCCACCTACCAGCTCCTTTGCTGCCGGGAAACCTCCGCACGAAGCCACGAAGAAAAGGCGTCTGTTGCGCTGTCTGCTTAGCCTGTGGTTTTCTGCCAGTGACGCAGCACCTGTGACTGGCCGGGGCAGGCCCTGGAACATGTGGATGGGGTGATGTTTAGCCAGACGCCATTGAGTAACTGGGCAGGGCGCGGAGCCAGACGATAAGGGTAAAACTGATCTGGGCGGGAGCCAGAACTTTTCTCGGGGCCCCCAGAAACGAAAGGCCAGCCCAGCCCCCTGTTGTCCGCTCCATGTGCCAGGGGCATTCGTTGACCTGCCTTCTCTAATAATAGCACAGTGCAATATGTAGATCAGTGGGAAGGGGGTGTGTGCTCCTGGAGCTCCATTCCTCCACCGCCCCCAACTCTATCTATTTCCCTGCTGTTCACCCAGATCTTCCCCCAGTGTCACCCTTATTCCCCCCTCCCCATTTTCCAGCATCCCCCCACTCTCACCCCAATGCTAGAGGCTCACTGTGCCCCATCCCCCCTCGCGCCCCATGCCACGGGCTCCGTCTGCCCCCATCCCCCCCTTGTGCCCCATGCCACGGGCTCCGTCTGCCCCCATCCCCCCTCACCTCCATGCCACGGGCTCTGTGTGCCCTGCCATCGCCCCTCCCCCCAATGCCCAGGGATCTGTCTGCCTTGCATGCTTCATACCAGGGTCCCGCACTTTCCCCCCACCAGGGGTGCTATGTACTGCACTCCCCCTCATCCCATAGCAGGGTACCCCATTATCCCCTGCATGCCAGAGGCTGAGTGAACTCCTGCTTTGCTGCCACACCCATTTGTCTGGATGATAAATCATTCAGGGTGCCAACATGTTTATCTCCACTGGGAGGCTGGGCAAGGGTGTGTTTAAGCTGGACGGCGTTGGCTGTTTGCTCTGGCACAGGTGCCTGATGCTGGGGCTGTGTTAAACCTGGGCGCGGCAGAATTCGATGTTTCATTTTTAAATTTTTGAATTTTGATAGGGAAAAAAAGGGTTTTATTTTTTAACCCACTCTTCCCAATTTTGACGGATTTTAATTTAAGTTCCTGCAGGGTGTCAGTGGCCAGGACAACCCCTACCCCAAACGCGGGAGAGGCCACCCCGCTGCTGAGTTGCCCCCCTCCTCGCAGGCCTGGCCCGGGGGGGGGGGTGGCACTCTGTACCTCAAAGCAGCACCCTGGAACCCCCATATTCACTCCTGTCATAGAATTCTGTCCTATTTCATACAAAGCATGTCATGTAAGATAGTGATTCTCAACCAGGGGCTCTTCCAGGGGTTACAGCAACTCATCTGGATATTTGCTGAGTTTTACAAGCGGCTAAATATAAAGCACCAGCAAAGTCAGTACAAATGAAAATTTCGGACAGACCATGACTTGTTTATACGGCTCTATATGCTACACACTGAAAGGGGAGTACAATATTTACCTTCCAATTGCATGATTTTATAAATATATGGTAACAATGAGAAAAGCAGCAATTTTTCAGTAATAGTGGCCGTGACACGGCTGTATTTTTGTCTTCTTTAGAAAGAAAGTTGTTTTTAAGTGAGGTGAAACTTGGGGGTAGGCAAGACGCATTAGCCTCCTGAAAAGGGTACAGCCTATGAACCAGTAGAATGTAACTTAAACAGTTGCTAATGTTTTCTTGGAAATGCTAGCATACCTCAAGTTTTTCCTTCTTTCACTGTTAATTCTGAGAATAAATATTTTATATAACATTTTCTTTTCAATTTCCCCCAAATTTCCAATTCTCCCACATGTCAGGAAAAAAAACGGATCCCCTCCTACTTTGTCCCAGATGTTTCCAGGTTTTTTTCTCCCAGACCCTCACATCTCTAATCTCAGCTTTCATTCAGAACAAAAAGAAAGTGTCTAGCCCTTATGATTGCGAAGAAAACCTCCCAAATGTGTCCTCTGTGTATGTCTGCCTGAGTTTGTCCAGAACCTGAGTCTATTGATCTGAGAGGGAGAGGTGCTTTCTCAGGTGTAACTTATGCAGTAGCTTCTGCCTGAGTCTGCCGAGAGTCTGAGCCAAATGCTCTGACAGCGGGAAATTGCCCACTGTATCTCTATAGGGCATTAACTGCCTGGGGCAGGGGTGCTGTGTGTGGCAGGAGAGGAAGAGCACAGCTGGGCCAACCCCTACCCAAGCAGGAACACCCCAGCTGCTGGGTTTAGTACTGGGGGAGAGGGGGCTCCTGTCACCCCTGTGGTGCAGAAGGGGGGCCTTGTACCACTGCACAAGGGAAGTTGGGGGCTAGTTCTCTCTCTCAGTCGGGGCCAGCTCAAGGTTTTTTGCCGCCCCAAGCAAAAAAAAATTTGGCTGCCCCCCACCCCAGCCCTGGGCTCTTCCCCCCCCGCACCAGTGCCCTCCCCTACACCCCTTGACGCCCCAGCCCTGGACTCTCTCTTCCCCCCCTCACCCGAACCCCCTGCTGCCCCAGCCCTGAGCTTCCCCCCCCCCAAACATGACCTCCTTGTTCACCACAGCTATCCCCAGTCCAGCCTGTGCGACTCAGGCTGCCATGAGCGCCATCTAGTGACTTCAGCCAGAACTGCAGCGTCACTTCCAGCTCAGCCTGAAAGCCTCAGCTGACAGGGAACATCTTGGTTCAGGGCCGGCTCCCGGCTTTTTGTGCCCCAAGAAAAAAAAGGGGGGGGCTGGAGTGCCCCCCCCGGAAAGTGCTGCCCCAAGCACATGCTTGGAGCGCTGGTGCCTAGAGCCGGCCCTGCTCTCAGTCCCACTTCAACTGGGTGCAGGGCCAGTGGGAAGGATGCTGGGAATGACCCTGGGGCTGGAGCAGGGAGGGTCCTGCAGTGGGGGAAGAGAGACAGAAGGGGGCACAGGAAGAGGAGACAGGGACAGAGGGGGCAGGATCCAGACCAGGGGAGGAGGTGGGAGAGGGGAAATCCCCACATCTGGGGGAGAAGGAGGAAAGGTATTTTTCTTAGTGGGAGGAGAGGATAGGAGAGAAGCAGGGGGGGGGGGGGGGGGGGGTTAGGGGGTACGAACTCCCAGACCTACCAGCTCCGCCGCTGCTCCTGGGTCCCTGCTATGCAGCCTAGCAGCAAGGAGAGAAGAGGTTGGCTTTTCCCTCTGCTTAGCTTTCGATTTCCTTTCCTCCCTGTGACGTGCCGCCCAAATGGGGAACTGAGGGGCAGAGATGCAGCCAGACTTTCTAAGCGTGACAAACCAATTAGACAGGGTGAGCCAGACCCCCTTAGGAGACTCACCTCCTCTTCTAAAGGGACTCCTGGGTTCTCTCCCCAGCTCTGGGAGGGGAGTGGTGTGGGTCTGGTGTTTAGAAGCAGGGGAGGGCTGGGATTCAGGACTCCTGGGTTCTATCCCCAGAGCTGGGAAAGGAGTGGGGTCTAGTGATCAGAGCGGAGGGGAGCCAGGACTCCTGGGTTCTATTCCTATTTCTGGGAGGCTGTTTATCCCACACTGGGGGAGGATGTGTTGGGGATGGGGACCAGATCTGGGTGAGTGGGGTGAGTGTGACTCAGTGGCTGGGTTGACACTGGGTTTGTGGGGTGTGTGGCCCCAGTTGTTAATAGGGTAGCTGCATCTCCCTCCGGCACTGCCCAGCCCCCCAGGTTGGTGGTTGAGAGCAGACCTGGCCCTAGGGCCCCAGCTCCCTTCTGACCCCTAGAGGGGATCCCTGCAGGTGCAAGGCTGAAGTCCATGTGTGTATGAGCCTGTGTGTCTAGGGTCAGCCCTCAGTGTGGGGGCAGCTGGGCAAGTTCCTCTCAGCCACACAGCGCCCACTGCTGGTACGTCTCAGCCCTGCACCTGCAGCAACCCCCCGGCCTACAGTCAGAACTCCCCTTACTGTGAGAGTGGGGTCCACAACTGGCTCTTAAAAAGAATCAGTCTCTAGCGAAATGTGGTGGGAGCCAAATCTTAACAACTGCCTCTGCATCTCAGTTTGGGCTGTGATTCCCCCCGCCCCCCGCACACTGTTTCTGTCCCATGGGTCTCTTCTCCGCATGCTTTAGCAGGCAGCACAGTTAGACAAGCAAACAACTCACCGTTCCTAACAACTACTTTATTATTAAAGAAATGAAAAATATATGAAACAAAACCCAAACAGTAAACAACAGTCCCGATCTCCGCTCTCCGGTTCTCCCGGGGGAGCGTTTTCAACAGATTGCGCGACCCGGGGACACTCCGAAAAAAACGAATCCAAAACCACATTTCAAATGGATTAGTCGAACCTCATTAAATCCCTGTGTGGACGCTCTTATTCAGAATTAAAGTGAATCTTAATCCACTTTGGAAGCGAATTAAGCTAATCTGAAGTAATTGAAATGAGATGAAGGTGAGAGACAAGGTTTGGACCAACTCCCGCAGAAGAGCTGTGTGTGGTTTTAAAGCGTGTCTCTTTCACCAACAGAAGTTGGTCCAATAAACAATATCCCCTCCCCCACCTGGTCTCGCTAACATCCTGGGACCCCCACGGCTACAACCCTGCAAATGATTAAACAAATGTCTCATTCCACTCCTATATTTTATACCATGATCCACTTGCCTGTTGCATTATTTCCCATGTATTTGTTGTTAATGTTTTCCTGAAGACTTAAGAGGAAAAAACAACAACCTCATTTTGGAAAAAAATCCCACGCTTTTAAATACTGTTTGCCCAGTACTGTCGACCCTGACAAGACAATCACTACAGGGGGAGTTTTTAAAAACCAATGCAGCAAATGCAGAAATATAATTTTAATGACGAATTGATAGCACAATGGTTCATTGTCCCTGGCGTTCCTTTTTGGAGCTAAGAAATATTAATATAAATATTTCTGTACTCAATTGGCGTCTCGTATTAGTAACCAGTAACAACCTAATGCCCTGGCTAGAGTTGTACATAAAATGTCTCCCTATTCACATAACAAGGGTGTCAGGCAGCTACCAGATGAGGGGCTTGATTTGAGATCCAAACATTTTAAAATGTACATCTCAAAAGGAGTTTATACCATTTTAAGCATTTGATGGTCTGGGCATTAGTTCATAGCTCTGATCCTACATCTTGAGCTCAGGGCTGGATTAACCTTGGGTGGGCGTGGTGCCCTGTCCGTGGCTCCGCCTCCTGCTCCACCCACATTCTGCCCCAAGGCCACGCCCCCACTCAGCCTCTTCCCCCCGAGGCCCCGCCCACCGCTCGCACAAGTGGGAGAGGGCGCAGAGGAGCAAGTGGCAGGTGGGGCTTCAGGAGGAAGAGGCCAAATGGGTGCAGGGCCTCGGGGTGGAGTGTGGGTGGAACAGGATGCGGGGCCACAGTCTGGGTGCCGGGGCCCCTTCTGAGTATGGGCCTGGCGCCACTGTAAACCCGGTACTGCTTGAGCGTCACTCTTCTTTGGAATATCCCAAATAAAGGTAACCTCAAAATCCTGTCTACACTCAACTGGTGTCTTCTTTGAGAAAATTCTCTTGTTGGTTGTTGGCCTTGTGACCAAATGGTCCCTAGAGTTACAACTAGGGTGACCAGATGTCTCAATTTTATAGGAACAGTCCTGATTTTGGGGTCTTTTTCTTATATAGGCTCCTATTACCCCCCACCCCCGTCCCAATTTTTCACATTTGCTGTCTGGTCACCCTAGTTACAACCTACCATGCGCTGTACATTTACAATGTGCAATTGGAGACCCCGCTCAAATATTCTATCCAAAGCATGAATCACAATCACTGTCACATATAGACATCTTTCAAAACATAGCCTCAAAGAAAACAGTATGGAAGGTTAAAACAAAAGAGAAGTTACAAAGACGGTGGAATTGATTATGAGATGAAGAAAATTGCATGGCTGGAACTTGACCCCAAAACTCCTAGAAATCCGTTGGCGACTCATTTCTATCTCCCAACACATTGCGAAAACTTCCCAGCAGGCACTGCACCGGACCATAGGCGCCAACTTCTCCTGGCGCTGGTGGGTGCTCGTGCCTCCCTGCCCCTGCCCCCATTCCAACCCCTTCCCCAAAGTCCCCGCCCCAGCTCCGCCCCCTCCCTGCCCCATTGGACGCCTTCCCCAAATCCCCGCCCCCAGCCCCTCCTCTTCCCCACCTCCTCCCCTGAGCGCGCCACATTCCCGCTCCTCTCCCCCCCCCCACAGCTTGTTACGCCACGAAACAGCTGTTTCGGGGTGGCAAGCGCTGGGAGGAGAAGCGGGGATGGTGCGCTCAGGGGAGGAGGCAGAGGGCGGAGGCGAGCTAGGGCGGGGGGCCGGGCTGGGGAGCTGCTGGTGGGGGCAGAGCACCCACCAATTTTTCCCTGTGGGTGCTCCAGCCCTGAGCACCCCGCATTCCCCCTCCCGCCCCTCGGCTGCTGCTGCGCTGGGGAAGTTGCTTCGGCCCCAGCGCACGGTGGAGAGCAGCGGGAGCCAGGAAAGTTGGAGCCCGGGGAGGAGGCGGTCCCCTTACCATGCCTCCCTATTTTCCCGGACATGTCCGGCTTTCTGGAAATTCCTCCCGGACGGGGATTTGAGGACCAAAAAGCCGGACATGTCCGGGAAAATCCGGACGTATGGTAACCCTACTTTTATCACACTCCCTTCTAGAACTGGGACTAGAACACAACAGGGGTGGCAGAAACTTCCTAAAGGTGTGAGGGGGCCACTGGTGGTGCCCGAACCATGGCCCTGCCTCCGCCCCTTTCCCTTGAGGCCCTGCCCCTTCCCCCTGAGGCCCCACCCCGGGACACCCCTTCTTACTGAGGTCCTGCCCACACACTACCCCTTCCCATGAGGCCCCCCCACACCACCCCTTATCCCTGACCCCCCCCCAGCCTCGCATCACCCCTTCCTCCGAGGCCCTGCTCCCACCCCCCTTCTTCCCCCCAAAACCCTGCCCCCTGCTCACTCTGCCCCTCCCCGGACGGTAAAAAGTGGGAGGGCCATGGCCCCCTGTTCCGGTGCCCCTGGAACCCAGGTGTCCTGCTACCAGAGCTCTAGCTGCTGCAGCATGCTGCCCCCTAGTGGTACACACATCACATGCGGACACTCACATCCCACACTGCTGAGCCAGGGAGCTGAGTGAAGGAAGTTCTTCCAACTTGGATGCATACAGTGGTGGTCCGATTAGTGCAACCAGATAGCAAGTGTGAAAAATCAGGACACTTTTTTCCCCCCAAGGGGTGGGGTACAGGTGCATATATAAGACAAAGCCCCGAATATCAGGACGTCTGGTTACCCTAGATCCGACTGTGTTACAGTTTATTCATATGACACCGATACAGCAGCTGCTACTTATTAAAAGAAATCAATAGAATCCCCCATAAACAAACCTCAATAGACAGATTTCCACCCTCCCTGTATACACCCATTGTTTTAAAACCCTTACAACTAGAGCCCATTGCTGCTCAGGGACCCCCCGCCCCTCAGCAGGAATCCAGCTCTTCAAAGTGGATGGAGAAAGCACAGACCAGTGGAGAGAGACAGACTGGGATCCAGTGTAGACAGAATTACAGGCGGTGGGGAGTCTATGACCTCAGTTCTAACTGCTGGGGTTCTGGGCACAGGATGGAATATTGTAGGACCAACCTGTGCTGGATGAACCCACAGCCTCTGCCCCAAGGAGCTCACAGTCTAAACAGACAAAGGGAGAGAGGGGAAACTGAGGCATGGGGCAGGGTATGTATCTTGTCCGGGTCTCCTGATTTACAGGCCAGTCCCTGACTTGCTAGGCCGCACCGTTCTCTAATAGGCAACAATTCAAATGCCCAGAGAAAGCGGAGTTCAGTGATCCAATTGCTAGTGGGACCGGATAGGGCAGTGTTAACCCCTTCTCTGCCAGCCCAGCTGAGGCTTTTATCCCCCTGGGCACGTTTGTGGGACTGAAGGGGACACAGACAGTCTCTGTCATCCCCACCCAGGACAGGTGACCAGCTGTGTTCAGTGACGGGACCCAGCCTGGATTCGGGTCCCACTAAGGGGCATCATCTCCCCCCACTTCCTTCTCAGTTCCACTCAGGATCATCCCCTAAGGATTACGGGGTTACTTCTCCCAGGATGGCCTCCCAGCCCTTCCCACGCTCCAGCTGGCCCCCGAGAGATTTCCTGCCTCTCACCTGTGCACTGAGTTA